CTAGTTTTAATTAAAAAAGGACTTGTATCACAGAAGTTTCTCGGCAAGATTTTCCCTTAGTGAAACCATTTTGGCTATCCAATAACATTCTAAAAATTGTTAAATAACTTTACAAAGTATCTGTTATCAGACTTTCTAAAACTTTCCCACAATTGATGTAAGGCTAATAGACGTATAATCACTGATAATATAATGTAACTAGTAATTATTGGTTTAATTCTCTGTTATCATAATGATTCTATAAAGTTAGCTTAAAGACACAACATTTTTTGAATAATTTAACATAACAAAGTGCTTTAACGGCATACAGATGGGCATTTAACATTTTAAGCACCTTCAAAATAAATTACGTCAATATGGCCACTGAACGGTATCTCTGTGTATTCCATTGTTCATTCATGCAAGAGCTCTATTTAGCCACTTTCCCACAAAACCATAAATTACTGCTCATATTACTTTATAAATAAATAAAATTGGCGAAAATAGTTCATAACCTTCTCTATTCAATGGTATTTAAACTTGGCCTGTAGCTATTGTCAAAGCTGTGCTCCATTTGTAATTGTTCATACAACATATTATGACACCATAAAAAAGGTGGGAACAAGGGTTGTAATAACAGAACTTCAAACATAGACATAAAATCACGTGAGAATAAAATACCTACATAACTATATTTTTAAGGGATGATAATTTATTAGTAAATATAAACCTGTGCTTTGGAATGAGCTGAAAAAAAAACTATAAGTATGTTATTTACAGGAAAGACTCTTAATTTGGAGCTGTGCAAAAAATGTTTGTTGTTAATGCGTTTGTTTTTACCACAAAGCTAAACAATAGGCTATCAGTAATATTTCCACCGTCGAGAATTAAACCACGGATTTTAGCATTGTAAGTCCGTAAACTTACTTCTGACCCACTAGGAGAAATTAAAGTTTGAACAATTTGTGTTTCATTGTTATTTGTAAATTACAAAATATCAATTTTAAAAATTATTGAAACACAGTTGAAATTATTATTTTTACTTAGATTTCGAAATCAGATATTCAAATATTCACTGGACAACTTGAAAGGTGCTCATTAATTGCATTAGAGATACAGATAATGATGGATATGACTCAGGGCTTAAAGAATACTTAGTAGTTCTTTTTGAGTTGTGCAATACCTTCTTTCTACAAATTTCACTGTCTTATTAAAGTAGGCAATCAAGTATTATTTTCCATGATGTCCTTGTAATAACACTGCACCCACTGCAAAATCACTTCTATATAAGAAGTGAGTCTTTAAGAGTTGGTATGTTAATACAGGAGCAGTGGTTAGTTAGTTATTCAGTTTTTTATGTTTGTTTACAATCGACAATCTAGCAAAACCTTTTTGTAGTTTGTGTAAAGGACGAGCTATGGCAGAGTAACAATTTATGAAATGTCAGTAGTAGCAGCACAACCCAAGAAATCCTCTTAGCTCATCCAAGTTCTGTGGTGCTGACCAACTTCAAACAGATTCAGTCTTGATTTAGTTTGTAGATTCTCTCTCTCTTCAATGAATATGTATCTCAGGA